GGCTCGTGCTCAGCTCCTTCACTGGGTGAATTTTCTTTCACTAGAAATAAGGTTCAGATCCATCTTTTTACAATTACAGATTAAAGGGACTACAGAGATGGGGTAATACATTCCTGCAAATTTAGGAAGGATAGGATGTTCATCTTCCGTTATAACATTCACAGCAGAATTTAAAGGAAAACAAATGAGAATCAAAATCGAGGACGTACCTGAAAATCTCCTAACAGTTCATACGTGTCCACACAGAATCTAAAAAAAACAAAAGATGGCCATTAAATTACAACTTATAGAACGTTACGCCAATCCAACAAATGAGCTACAGGAAAACATGAAGTTTCATGGAAACTCATTAAGGTGGCGCAGACAAGACAATTAGAAAGCAGTACACTAAAACCGTGAAAGCAGTAATAAAAAGTTACACGAATGCCTGTACACTCAGGAATACAGAGCAGGTGCTTTAACAGCAACAGTAACAGAAATCTATTTTTAAGTACTAAAGAAATATGCAGATTTCTAATACTCCAGTAGATTTTACAATTGAAGAAGACAGTACAAATACAAATAACTGTGATGTGATTAGTACTAATATTAGATCATTTTGGAAGCTGGCTTTAGAAAATGAACAGAACACAACTAGCAGAACTAATGAACCCTAGCTGCATATCACAGCTGAACCCTGTTCCACTTCACAATCCCCGTTTCCTTCCCTATTCCAACACCCTCATTTGACCTCATGTGCCGTGCCTACGGGACAGGGAAAGACTGCCCATGCTTGAGCACTGTGATGGGCTGTGTACATGGTTAGCTAGTGGCCACCACCTGCCTACCGACCTGACAGGACGCTTTTCCCTGGCTGGTGAGCCAAGTAGATCTCTGTGGGGAGCTGTCACCACGTGTTGTGCAGGCCAGTTAGTGGAATTCTGTGTTTAATTCTTTAAGAACTCTGTCATGTATGATTGAAATCAGCCCCATACGGTTGAACTAATCACTGGCTTAAAGTCATTGGCGAGAGCAAAGGAGAAGGGCAGCCAAATCATTTGGAACTAGGCTAAAATACTTAAGAGAGCTTAAGGTTAAAGGGATCATTGGATCACATACTGTGACCTCCTTTATATCATGAGTCATTAAGTCATATCACTACTCCCATACTAAACCAAGTAACTTGTGTAAGATTAAAACTGTTAAATTCCAGTTTGAATTAGGTTATCTCAGCTTCCAATCACTGATTCTTCTTATCTATTTCTCTACTATTTTAAAAAGCTTTAGTATGTGACACTTGCTCCCTGTGAAGGTATTTGAACCCTGCAGTAAAGCCAACTCATATAGATCTTTCAACAAATTAAATTGATCTAGCTTTTTAAATTTATCATTGTAAGATATTTCCTCCAGTCTTTTAATAATTTTGCAGCTCTTTCCCACACCAGCTGATCTTTAACATCAGAACTACATACATTGTTCTAGTACCGTTCTCATTAATGCAATACACAAAGTAATTGATTTCTTATTCACTAATCCTGTTAAGACTTTCAGCAACCATATCTGACACATTGTTCTGGGACCTTATCTGTAGCAGTTTGTTCCAAATTGGTTTTGGACAGTCTTTTCCAAGACATGGGCTCTCATTCTAGAGAGAGGGCTTGCGTTCCTTGTTCACAAATATGTATCTTTGCATTTGGCTGTAAAAACCTGTTCAAAAGTGTTAATTTTACCAGGCAGTCTGGATCATTTTGTGGTTGCCCTCACTGTAGTTTAGGACATCCACATATTTTATTAACAAGTTTATTTTTGATCTTTGAGGAAAAGTTTGAAAGACACTGAGCCTACAGAACTATAGAAGCCCCCAACATCATGAATATTAACTTTTGACAATTTTTCAGCTCTTTCAAAAATCAGGAGCTATGTATCTGCTTAATACACGTAGTTGACACCATAGATGTAGCGTTAACTGCTAGAAGTATATATAGTATTAACCATACCGCTCGAAGAGATCACTTTGCATAATGAATAGGAACTATAGAGTCATTACATTAGTGCAGTTACTTTTGCCAATTTACCTTTAAACCTCATTGAACAAGGCTATCGGGGTTGTTTCATAAGACCCATGAGATGACTGATATTAATGGTATCTGTACTTTTTAATTTCTTTAACAATGATTTGACATATCTTCTCTACTATTTTGCCTGCGGCTGATGTTACTTCCAGCATTCAAGAACTGCATGGGACATTCGGCTTGATGTTTGAAAAACTGGAAGAACTCTAGCGCTTTTTCAATGTCAAAGAATTTCCTTCATATTTAATATTTATTAAAATCCAACCGCAGATACTTCCTTATCCAACTCTGTCAAGATCCCTAGGCGCAAATTAGTTGGACTCTTCCTTTTAAAAATACCTATGTTTGCTTGGAATGTAAGACGCCTTACAGATTTGAAAGTACTTCTTCATGCGATGTGACTACGACATCCGACTAAGAGAAGAGAGTCGAAAGGGAGAAGAGAATAAGTAAGAAGAGACATTCACTCAGTATTATCGGTTCCCTGTATGATTACTGCTGGCATCTAAGAACTTTCCCTA